ACCCGCTAGGTCTAGTCGGACCTGTCGTAACGTCAGCAAAAATACTGATGCAAGAGCTATGGAGCTTAGGCATAGAGTGGGATGAATCAGTTCCCATGCACATTCATAGAATATGGGATCAAATAAGGTCGCAGTTATGTTTGCTCAATAAGGTTAAGATACCTAGGTTAGTAATTTCCGGGAAGGCGGACTCTCGAATACAAATACACGGATTTTGCGACGCGAGCGAAAAGGCTTACGGTGCCTGTATATACCTACGTGAGCAAAGCAGGCAAGGTGAGATAGTTGTTTCATTGCTTTGTTCAAAGTCACGAGTGGCACCCATGAAAATGTTATCGCTGCCGCGGTTAGAACTATGTGGCGCCGTACTACTAACAGATTTAATGAATAAGGTAATAAACAGTTTAAATTTAAAGGTGCAACAAAGATTTTACTGGACGGATTCAACAATTGTATTAGCCTGGATAAGCTCCCCCTCCAGAAAATGGCAGGTGTTCGTCGCGAATAGGATTAGTAACATTCAGGATAATTCTTCACCTTCCGAATGGCGACATGTGAGGTCTAAGGACAACCCCGCAGATTTGATATCCAAGGGTACGACCCCAGAAAAATTGATACAAACTAATAGCTGGTGGGAAGGACCTCAGTGGTTGAAAGAAGAGGAAAGGTCATGGCCAAAGGAAGAGGAGGAATTAGCAATCGAAAACGTACCTGAAAAACGAAAACAAGCGGTAATAGCAGCGGCTGTGACAGATAAAGTAGTCATAGATTATAAAAGATTTTCGTCATTAAATAAATTACTGTGAATAGTGGCGTATATGTTAAGATACATTCATAATTTAGGTTGTAAGAAAGAAAGTCGTAAGTTAGGGAAAATAACTGCCTTAGAAACTGAAAGGGCGAAGTTAGCGATAGTGAGGTTAGTGCAAAGAGAGGAGTTCAAAGAGGATATAAAGGCATTAAAAAACACCAACAAGGTACAACGAAATTCAAAATTAATAGCGCTTCATCCGTACTTAGACGCTAGCGGGATTTTACGAGTAGGAGGAAGGCTGGAACACGCCGGGTTGAGCGAGAAGATGAAACATCCTATATTACTTCCGGCATCACATCACTTCACCACATTAGTAATTGTGCAGCATCACAAGAAGCTTTTTCACGCGGGTGTTCAGACCACTTTAAGTTCAATAAGACAAGAATTCTGGCCAATATTCGCGAAGAGTCGAGTGAAGAAAGTCTTACGAAATTGTGCAGAATGCCGCAAGGCTCATCCTAAGCCTAGCTGGCAATTGATGGGAGAACTGCCGTCCGTTCGAGTCAACATCACCAGACCATTTCACAACTCTGGGGTGGATTACTGCGGACCATTCTACGTGCGAGATCGAGTTCGTAGAAACAGCAAAAAATACAAGGCTTATGTAGCCATATTCATCTGTATGGCTACAAAGGCAGTACACATAGAATTGGTGGAGGACTTAACTACGGAATCATTCTTGGCAGCATTGAAAAGATTCATATCACGGAGAGGCAAGATCCAGAACATGTACTCGGACAACGGGAGAAATTTTGTGGGAGCAGACCGAGTACTGCAGCAAACAATCGAAGACGAAGAATTTAAGGGAGCTGTTCAGGAGTTTGCAGCAAATGAGCAAATGCAGTGGCACTTTATACCCCCTAGGTCGCCCCATTACGATGGTCTCTGGGAGTCGGCGGTGCGTTCGATGAAATTGCTTCTAAAACGTACTCTCGGGGAGGTTTGCCTCACAGTTGGAGAAATGACTACGGTCCTAGCACAAGTCGAGGCTGTCTTAAACTCAAGGCCCCTCACACCGTTATCGGAAGATCCAAGTGATTTAAGAGCCTTAACTCCAGGTCATTTTTTGATTGGAGATAGTCTACAAGCTTACCCTGAAAGGAATCTACAAGAAATACCGATGAATCGACTTTCAAGATGGCAGTACACGGAACAACTCAAGCAATGTCTGTGTTCCCGATGGCGAAAGGAATATCTCGCGACGTGCCAGCAAAGGAGAAAGTGGAAAACCGACAGTGGTGCCAAATTCGAAGTAGGGCAGCTAGTTATGTTAAAGGAAAGCGAGTCTATGCCCTTTAGATGGGTATTGGCAAGACTCACTGAAATACATCCGGGTTCAGACGGAATAATCCGAGCGGTCACGGTCCGAACAGAAAAGTGCATATATAAAAGAGCGATCGTTAATATCGCTCCCATATCCGATTAAGTAAGCATATTATAGTTTATACTAAGTTTAGTGTTTAGGTAAGTCCTAGACTGTTCAAAGGTACAAAGTTAAAAATAATTTCCTTTTGTCGTTTTCTTTTTCTTTGAAAATATATTATATTTGTCAAGGCGGGCGGCG